ATGAAATGAACTTCAGAAAGTTTCATTGAATCATATCAGTTACCCTGGAAACGTTAGCAACACTAAACCCGCTCGGCGTGCTGAGGCCTCTGCCGCCCCCTACTGGATGTGGAAGGCAACCGCCGCCCTGTGAGACGTGACAGCGCACCATGACCCACTCCGCGTGGGGGATTCACGTACAAACGGCTAAACAATCCACAGTGGACCCTCAGCTGCTCCACACACACACACACACACACACACTGTTTACAGAACAGCTGAACGCCATGAGGCGTTCAGGGCCCGCCCCCTCGGCTCTGGTCCCTAGCTGGTTCTGACCTTTTTTCTCCGACCAGCCATTAACACAAACAATCGAACCACATCGAACCGAACACCCAGAACTGCAGATTCTGCAGAGCCAGACAACTTGTGACTCATGAAGGTTCTACGGCAGAAAACCTGCGAGTTCGTTTTGTTTTTGTTCTGTTGGTTCTGAACCGACTGTTCTTTGGTTCCTAAGTGTCTGGTCCAAATGATGCAGGTAACCTCACCTGAGCAGCAGCAGCAGTTGTTCTGAACAGGGCAGCTGAAGGCCTCAAAGAACCGAACAGCTTCAACATTTTGACGGTGCAGAACATGAAGAGATCCCAGAGAACGGCAGCACAGATCCTCTAAATGCAAGAGGTCCCACTCTGAAGGAGGACTCTCTTCATCTGTAGAGATCCTAAGAAAACAAGAGGACTCACTCTGAGAACGGCAGTTTGTTTAATCTGGAGTTTGCCAGAGATCATTTACACAGGATGTCTCACTCCAAAAGAAAAAACACTGTTAATTCCATTATTATTTGTTTATTAAAATAGGACATTTAAATGATATAATACACAAGAATATCTGCGCGTGCGCCTTTTGGTTTAAGATGAATCCTTGTTTATTAAAATCTACCGATAGGTGGCGGTAAGGGGAACAGAATTTCACACCAAAAAAATAAACAAGTGACGCATGTGACGTCACATCCGTTGAGGAAGTAAAGCAGCACGGGGACGGTAAGGTGAGCGGGTGAGCATGCTGAAGCTGCTGCAAGTGAGTTTCCGCCGCCATGTGTGGAGGAGCGTCTGCTCCGCGGCGGCAGGTCGGGGCGCGGCGCGCGGAGCCGCGGCAGCGGCCAGGAGGGCCGGAGTCCGGAGCTGCATCGTGGATACGAACCTGGAGGAACAGTTCGTGTTCCTGGACTGTGCAGGTGAGCAGCTACAGAACCTCCTGCTCTGCTACTTGTTCCGGTACCGGAGCTGGCTGCTATTCTGACTCGATGTGTGGTTCCGGTTCTGATGCTCCGCTGAACAGCTGAGATGTTCTGTAGAACCTTCTAGACCCAGCTTCCCGGGTCAGAACTGTTTAGCATTAACATGACCAGAACCAGGATGTGTTTCTTGTTCTTTTGGACCTCTCATTGGGTTTTATCTCCAGAACTGTTCTGCCTCAGGTCAAGGATCTCAGCTCGGTTCTGGTTCCTAAAGTCCAGTTTCACAGAAAGTATTCACAATGCTTAAACTTCCCTTCATAAACAAACAGGAGCCTCCTAATCCGGAACCAGAACCCATCTGGTCCAGAAGGTTCTGGTTCCGTCAGGACACTCAGCCAGAGATATAATGGGATGGTTTTTAGATCAAAGCAGATTCATGGCCTAATCAAAGTTTTCAGACTTTTATTGGTAACAAATGTTGAACATGTTTCTTCTTCTGCTCCTTCTCATTCTTCTTCTCTGAATAATTTGTTGTCACATCGGAAGTTCTGATCTGCCAGTACCGGCCGTTTGGACCGTTGTGACAGTCTCAGTCTGAGCTTTGATCAGCTGACCACATTGGATGAATCTGATTGGACGGAATCAGGAGGTTCTGCTGCCGGTTCTGTTGGGTCAGCCTGACTCTTCTTGTTCTCTCCTGTTTCAGGTCTAGAGGAGGAGCCCGATGAGGAGCAGCAGCTCCGCGTCGCCTCAGGTTCTGGTTCTGGGTCCGGGTCTGGTTCTGACCGTCAGCACCGGACCCACCTGAGGGCACTGGAGCGGCAGCTGCAGGTGCTGAGAGACGGAGCCTCGCAGGAGCCGGGGCCAGACTCTTTCATGGATTTCCATGATGAGGACTTCCCGCTGGACGAGAGCCTCATAAAGTCCCAGAAGAAGAAGAAGAGGAAGGGGGCGGAGCCTAAGGGCGAGCACCGCGTGTTTGGGACGGCGGACGCAGGCGTTGCGGTCAGCGACACCAGCTGCTCCGGATGCGGCGCCCTGCTGCACTGCGCCGCCGCCGACCTGCCCGGCTTCCTGCCCAGCGAGAAGTTCAAGGTTCTCATGGCGACGGGGAAACTGGGCGGAGCCACCTGCCAGCGCTGCCACCTGCTCACCCACCACCACAAGGCGCTGCACCTGCAGCTGACCCGGGACCAGTACCGGGATGTGGTGCGGCGGGTCCGGGCTCGGAAGGCGCTGGTGCTGCTGGTGGTGGACCTGCTGGACCCGCCGGGCTCCCTGGTTCCAGACCTGCCGGACCTGGTGGGCACCAACAAGCAGGTGGTGGTTCTGGGCAACAAGGTGGACCTGCTGCCCGCCGACGCGCCCAACTACCTGCAGCGCCTGAAGCGGCGCCTGGCGCGGTGCTGCCAGGACGCTGGGTTCGGGACGCAGGTGGCCGACCTCCACCTGATCAGCGCCAAGACGGGCTTCGGGCTGGAGGGGCTGGTCTCCGCCCTGCAGCGCTCCTGGAGCTACAAGGGCGACGTGTTCCTGGTGGGCGGAGCCAACGTCGGCAAGTCCACGCTGTTCAACGCGCTGCTGGAGTCCGACTACTGCCGGTCCGCGGCCGCCAGCGCCCTGCGCAGGGCCACCATCTCCCCTTGGCCCGGTACGTAACCAGAACCTGAACCGCTGCCGCGCTGCGCCAGGCTGACCCGCTGTGTCTCCCCGCGATGCGTTCAGGGACCACTCTGGAGCTGCTGAAGTTCCCCATCACCAACCCGACTCCTTACCGCATGTTCCGGCGCCAGAACCGCCTGAAGGAGGCGCTGCAGCAGACGGAGGCAGAGCTACCTGCCGACGAGCTGCAGCGGCTGCAAAGGCTTAGTCGCCATGGATACCTAGTGGGTAAGGAGGGGGCGGAGCCATGTGACCAGGGGCGGAGCCAGGTGGGTCTCTGATCACCTGCTCACCTGTCCAGGTCGGGTCGGTCAGACGTTCCGGTCCGGTGGATCCAGAAGTGAAGAGATCCAGTTTGATCCGGACAGCCTGGCGTTTGGCGAAGACGGAGGTTCACAGAAGGAAGGTAGGTTCTGATCCGGTTCTGATCCGGTTCTGACTGAACCAGTCCCACCTGCAGGTTCTAACCCGGTTCTGACTCCTCCATCAGCTGCTGTCGGGTCACATGACAAACCAAACGCCAGCGATCTGAAAGACGCCCACTGGCTCTACGACACGCCGGGAATCCTGAGAGAGAGAGACGTGAGCCGCCCTTCCTCTCCCGGCTCCTCTTCCTCTCTCCGCTCCTCTTCCTTTTTTTGTCCAGTAATCAAAAGTATTTGAACACATCTTAAAAAATAAAACTTGTTTTTTAATTCCAGCCCAACATGGATTTTTTGGGATAATTGTGATGTGATTTTAAAAATTAAACTGGTTTTGATATAAAAATTTAATTATTTTTCTAACTCTGATTATTTGGAAAACATTTTTACAGACACATTTTGAATGTATAAAAGTGAAATCTCGACCTTCTTATTCACAATGTTTTTCTGAATCCACTTCCTGTTCCTGCTCTCTGGACTTCCTCAGATCCTCCAGCTGCTGGAGGACCAGGAGGTCCGGTCGGTGGTTCCGACCCGGGCCATCGTTCCCCGGACCTTCGTCCTGAAACCCGGAATGACTCTGTTTGTCGGAGCGCTGGCCCGGATCGACTTCCTGCAGGTAGGAAGGGGTTAATTAACTGACAGGTGGATGAGCTGATTGGTTAACGACGGACGCCTGGTAATGGCCGCCGACTGCAGGGCAGGAAGTCCTGCTGGTTTTCTGTTCTGACCTCCAGTCAGGTCCCAGTTCACATCACCGGTCTGGATAAAGCCGCCAGCGTCTATGAGCGACACGCCGGCCACGCCCTGCTGGGGGTGAGTCACATGACCTCACTGTGACCTCAGTCAGCCCGTCGTCACGGTGCCGTGAGTCATGTCTGCCTCCGTGCTGCGTTCAGGTGCCTGCAGGCGGGTCGGAGAGGATGCAGCGTTTTCCTGCGTTGGTTCCTCAGGACTTCAGTCTGGAGGGTCGAGGTTACCTGGAGGCCACTGCTGACATCACGCTGTCATCAGCAGGTAAGCCCCGCCCCCGCCTGCAGCCGCCAGGCTGGCTCTGATCTCCTCTCACCTGCGTGTCGTCTGTCTGTCAGGTTGGGTCGCCGTGACGGCGATGTCAGGTGAGCTGGTGGAGCTGCGGGTTCACGGCCCGGAGGCGGCAGGCTTCGGCCTGCGGACGCCGCCGCTGCTGCCTCACGTCGCTTCGCTGAAAGGAGAGCGGCTTCGAAAGTCGGCCGCCTACAAACCGCTGAGGGCCGCCGGCCAGATCCACAACCTGAAGCCCAGCAGGAACTGAGCCTGACGCACCTGGACAGGTGGGGGCGGGGCCAAACCTGGAGCTGCCTTCCCTGTTACCGTGGTAACGGAGGCTGATGAGACCTTGAACAAAGACAAATCCATCTGAACTTTACCTCTGATCTCTGTTACCGTGGTAACTCTGTTATTCCATCAGTGATGCCAGAACATGTTCTGATCCGCTGTCGGTTACCCAGAGCGGTTCTGATACCGGAGCGGGTCTGTGGTTCTGATCCCTACTTGTGTTTAGTAAAAATGAGACGGAACCGGAGAGAGTGAGGTCTTTACTGGTCACAGCTTCATCTAGGCCCGGTTCTGATGGACTAGGATCCTGTGACCAGCTGTTTTTGTTCCAGTAAACTGGGTCGAGACATCAGAACCAGAACCAGTAGCCCAAACAAACAGACGTTTCTGCTGTTTTTATTAAAGGTTATAAACTGCAGCCCCCCCCCCCCCTCCCCCGCTGATCAACACCTGCAACAACATGGAGGCGTCCAGCAGTTCTACCAGAACCCACACGACCCAAAAAGTCCAAACAGAACCCCTAACAGTCAAACAGCTGATATTTGTCCCCATCGTCCTGTCATATGAGGATGACGTCATTCTGCCAGCCTGGTTCTGATGGCTCCAGCTCCTCTGAAGGTTCTGACCTTCCTCAGACGTCATACAGCTTCTCCTCTTCTTCGCTCCTAATGAAGGCAGATGACAGTTCTTTCAGCAGCAGCTCCTGGGACGCCGTGCAGACTCCGGGCCGTATGACGCCCTCTGCTGGCGGACCGGGGGAACTGCAGCCTGCGCTGGCCTCTGCTGGCGGGTCGGGGGAACTGCAGCCTGCGCTGGCCTCTGCTGGCGGGTCGGGGGAACTGCAGCCTGCCCCGCTGCTACTGCCGCTCTGCTCCAGCGTCTCCAGGGAGCCGCCGACGGAACGGACGGCCCGGGGGGCGGCTACGTGGTCCAGATGTCCGCTCTCTGACAGAACCAGTCGGGTCTGCCGGTCCGGAACCTCCTGGGTCTCTGCGGCGCGGCTGGACCGGAAGCTGGTCTCCAGAGACTTCAGCACCTGCAGGCCAAAGTCCCCCACCTCCTCGTAGAGCGGTTCCGGAGGGTCCGGAGACTCGGCCCGCTCCTCGAACGAGTCCTGCTGGATCTTCATGGGCTGGACACAGACAGAACCAAACCCGACCCAGGTTAACGGTACCGAACGCTCTGGCAGTTCTGCACAGCTTCACAAACTGAAATCCTAAAATGGTTCTGATGGGCTTTGTTCTGAATTCAAAAATGTTTAAATGTTTTAAATTCCAGAAAATAAAAAAAAAAAAATTATGTTTCAAAATATCAACTGTTAAAATTTGCTTCAGTTTAAAATGTTTAAAGATTAAAATGATATAAAAACTTTATCGTATTTCTGCTTAAGATTAAAAAAATACATTTATTTTTATTACAAACTGAAAAATGCTAAAAGTGACAATAAAATCCTGTTTTACGAAATTACACAGGTGTTTTTCCAAAATATTAACTTTATAAATTTTGACTTATTAAAAAAATAAAATTCTTTAAAGTGAATTTCTAAAATTTTGGGGACAAAAGAAAAAGCATTAAAAGTTTTAGAAACTAAGAGTTTCAATTAGACAATTTTGGGTGGCTTAATATTTTACTTAAGTTCTTATTTTTATTAAAACTGAGTTTAAACCGGTTCTAATAAAACTGAAAAAATGTTCTGAATTAATGGATCAGTTCCAGATCTACTCTGATGCTTCATGTTTTCTCCCCTAGAACCAACTCAGACCAGTAAAGAACCAGTTTAAACCAGTAAAGAACCAGTTTAAACCGGTAAAGAACCAGTTTAAAACCAGTAAAGAACCAGTTTAAAACCAGTAAAGAACCAGTTTAAACCGGTAAAGAACCAGTTTAAACCGGTCTTAACCAGTGAAGGACTGAAAACTCACAAAGTACATGGACAGGGTCCTTCGGTCATGAAGCTTCCTCTGCAGGGAGAGAAGAAGAAACAGAATCTAAGTCCTGACTCGGTGTCTTGGTCCAGTTCTGACCCGGTCCCGGTTCTGACCCGGCCTCTCACCAGAGTCTGATTGGCTGACAGCATGCCACTGTTGCTCTCGTCTCCTCGGATCGGAACCAGCGGCATGGTGCCAAACTTCTGCTTGGAGATGTCGGAGGAGGAGTGGCGCCGCAGAACCGGCGGGCCCGGATCATCGTTCTGGAAGAGGAGCAGAACCCGGGATGAGCCACTCCGGTGCCGGTTCTGGTTCCGATTCTGTAGACTCACCTGAGCCCGGAGGAAGCTGGTGACCCAGTCCCACAGCTCGGCCTCACTGCTGCAGCACAGGAACCTACAGAGAGGGATAAACCGGGTCAGAACAGAATCGGGTCAGGATTGGACCGGGTCAGGCTGGTTCTGGTGATACTTACAGCTGGTGCTTGTCTGACATCACTGTGAAGCCCCATCTGCAGAGACACACGTTACCATGGAGATGCTTTGCTGCAGCTTGCTGTTACCGGGTCAGAACCTGAACCCAGACCAGGTCTCTGATCCCGGCTCAGCGTCTGCTGCAGCAGAACCAGGTCCAGTTCCTTAAGTGGAACCAATAATGCAGATCATTGGTTCTGACCGCAATGAGGTCATTACTCTGAGGACCAATTAGAATCGGTTCTGGATCCAGTTTGGTTCTGATTCATCAGAACAGAACCAAACTGGACCGGTCTGAACAGTTGGGTTTGGAACAGAGCGGTTCTGGTTCTGTTCCTAGTTCTGGTTCTGTTCCTAGTTCTGGTTCTGTTCCT